TGCAAGGCCCCTCACTTAGGTCCCTGCGGACATCACTCCCGAGGACGCCCCGACTGCAACTGACCCAGTGCCAGCCCTCATGGGAGCCACATCACTGCCTCCGGGCATTCACTGGTGTAGTCGTGTCCCTGGCACCCCTAGGTTTGCTAGCGATGGGGCCTTGTCCTATTTACTGCCTTCCCTTGCACACTGATCTTCTGTGCTGACGGGCTGTTCGTTCTCCACCCGATCCATACAGACACTCCCGTGTAATGATCAGTGGTGCTACTTATGGTTTCACTATACCGTGGTTTTGGTGGAAGCCTTACCGCAAATGCAGTTTTGACCTCTCTTGGGCAGGCACCATGCAGGAGCAATCAGGATGCAGGCCAGGGATGGGGGCAGGCGACACCACAGTGCAGCCACCAAGCTGTGGCGCTGGATTAGGTCAAGCAGGTGCCTCAGTGCGGTCGCTCCCCCTACTGCATGTTGAAAGCTAACCCTCAGGCTGGGCTCGGGGTGGCTGTGCCTTGTAGGAAGCTGTCATGACTGCCGAGCGCGCACACGCCTGGCCCACAGTGTGAGGGCTGATGCCCGCGGTGTGCACCTCTACGAGGTCCCAACATAGCCCAACAGGGCAGGCACTGAACTCACAGCTCTGCCTACAGAACTGTGAGAAATGCATTGCTACATGTAAACCCCTCACCCGTTACTCTTCCATTTAATTGATTCTTTTTTGGGTAAAGGGGGGGTACCGAAATCGAACTCATGATGCAAGGCAGACGCTGTACCACAGAGCTGTATCCCTGGCCTTGTTTTTTTAAAAAGATAGTGTGTGTGTGTGTGTGTGTGTGTGTGTGTGTGTGGCCAGCTCAGCCCACCAGGGGGCGGGGCTGGCTGGCATGTGGTGCTGGGGGATTGAACCGCAGTCCCTGTGCGTTGCTAAGCTTGTTCTAAGTAGGTGCTTTAGACCACTGAGCCATCTCACCCTCCCCTAAAAAGACAGTCTTGCAAAGTAGTCTGGGCCATCGCTTCTCAGTCTTTTGGCTAAGATCAAGTGAAAAGTAGTCCAGGCCAGCCTTGAACTCACTGCATAGCCCAGCATGGCTGGGAACTCAAGACCCTCCTGTCTCAGCCTCCTGAGTACTGGATTTATAGGTGTGCATCACACCAACAGGCAAATTTTGTCAGTCCTCCTCCCCAAGTATTGTTAATACAATATCACAAGGGGAGAGGGATCGTTAATGACAAGAACAGAAATACTATAATTTTGCATGAGAATAGCCCGATGTGAATCTGAAAACATCACTAATTGTGCATACACCTGGGTCTCATGTACACTAGCGAAGCTACAGCAATGTGCCATAGCAGGTTACTAGGTACTTTTAAAGGTTTGAACTTCCAGTTTTCTTGGCCAGGTAGATGGCTCAGTGGAATAAGCGCTTCCCTGGCAAGCGCAAGGGCCTGAGTTCAATGCCCAGTTCTGGAAAAAAAAAAAAAAAAAAAAAAGCATTCGAAGCTGAACTTCCAGTTTCCAGGCCAGCATCAGTCTGCCTAACAACAATGACCTCAAAAGAATCTTTGCTCAGAACCATCAAGAGAATTTGGGTCCTACAGCGACAACTTCCTCCCCAAATTAGCCATAAGCCAATACAGAAAACCACCTTGCTAAGTAACACAGCAAGTCAGGACAGAAACCTCCAGGTCAGGACCTAGGACCCAGGCCAGAAAATCCCAACTGTGCACAAGTGACGAAACTGTGAAGGCTCAATGTGTACCAGCCCAGGCTAAAAGCTCAAAAGCAGAACTAGGCATGGTGGTGCACTGTCTATAAAATCAGCATGCAGGAGGCTGAGGCAGGAGGACTGCAGTGAACTTGAGACCAGCCTGGACTACCTTTCCTCACACATGCAAAAGAGAGACCTCCATCCTAAGCCATACAACCCTAAATATAGATGTTATAAAACTTCGTAATTTTTTAAACTGTCTAAAATGTCTTTGTAGGGGCCAGGGAGATGGCTCAGTGGAATAAGCGCTTCCCTGGCAAGCGCAAGGGCCTGAGTTCAATCCCCGGTTCTGCCAAAAAAAATTTAAAAAATAAATAAATAAAAATAAATGTCTTTGATGCTCCCTAACCACACCACGTCTCTCTTTAGTTAGTAAAGATTTGAAGATGAGTTCAGATTTTTTGCTGCCCATTACCTTCAGCTACAAATAACCCATACATATAAAACTTGATATACATTTGAAAATCATTTGTGCTGAAAGCAGGTATGTAATACATACTGTATGAGTGCACTTACATAAAACCCCAGACAATGGGAACCTGTAATGAGTGCAAGCAGCTTAGGCTGCCCACATCTGCAGAAGGCAGACACAGCCAGGGGGACAGGAAAGGGCCGCAGCCCTCCTCTGGCACCACAGAGATACACACACACACACACACACACACACACACACACACACACACGCTAACGTGGACTCACAGGTGCTTATGGGGGCTTTTCATTCACAATATTAACAATTGGCCTAAGATTCTTCAGACACTCCCATCTGTAAGTGGAGATACAAATGTTCTATGTGCCTGTCGTCCACGCACTCAGGAAGCAGACCTTTCATCATTTTCCTGAAGTAGAAAAAAAGGCCAAAATCACAGAACTGGGTGCACAACTATTTAAATGTGGACAAGTTTTGGAAGAATAAACCAAAATATTGACATGGAGGCCAGACAGATGTGGTGAGTTCAAAGTAACAATTTTTACTCTTCTTCCTAGTTCCTACACTGTTGCTTACTTCTGTTGCAGGCAGCCGAGTTAGATAGAAATATTATAGGCAGTCAGACAGGGCCAGGCCCTCCAAGGAAATACCACAGAAGACAAGATATCTTGCAACTCTGGGAGGGATGGATGCTCCCGCAGTGGGCCAGACCTAAAGACCAGAGATCAAACAAATGCCGACCTCCTTAAAGATTGGCATCCGAGATTGATCATCACCCTGAGGGAGCCAGAAGAACCATTAATCCGACTACTGCTGGATGGCTACCTCATAAACTCCTGTTCTACATTCGTGCCCGCTTGCCATGTGACTCACTTCCCCCATTTGGTCCTGGACTTAATCAATTTACCTGAGCAATGGTGCTTGTGATCTCATTGGCTGATCACAGTTTTGTCCCACCCCACATCCACCTAAGGGAGTTCCCCCTTTCTCCACCTTAGCACCACATGGTTTTACACTATAAAAGTCCCTGGAAGAGACAGCTTCCCGAGGGCTACCCGCTCAGACCGCCCTCCTGTCCCTCTCTCAGACAGGAGCTTTCTTTCCCTCAGTAAATATATTCTGCTCATAACCTCTGTTCCTAAAATTCATTCTTTGGTTTTAGAGAACAGGAACTCACAGGTCAGGTCAGGGGATGATGTTTTCCCTATATCACTTGGAGGTTGCCAGTATCATTTGGAGGTCACCCACCCGAGGTCAGTTTTTCTCCTTGTATCACTTCTATTGCCAAAATAGTAATTTAAAGGAAAATACTGATGTTTACAACAAACTTTGAAAGAACAGTTTACTATCCTAAATTTTAAAGAGAATTCTGAGCTGTGCATGGTGGCATAGGGCTGTAACCCCAGCACTTGGGGGGCTGATGCAGGACATGAGTTCAAGGCCAATCTGAACTACATAGTGAGACTTTCGACTCAAACAGCAAAATCCTAAAAAACGGGAAAGGAGTCTGATCTTTTAGGTGATTTAGGGAGAGATATACATGGAAAGAAGAGAAGCTAAGAGACTGACATTCACAGCGCAAGCTTTAAAAAAATAAAAACTAGGCTATCTTCCACAGGATACGAGAGGACCACGCTGAGACACTTGTAGCCCGTTCCCCTGCAATGCAGAAGAGTGTCTACACTAGACCTGCACCTGGCTCAGCTATTCAGAGTAAACCCTCAAGGCAGGGGCGTGACTCGCACAGCACATGACCAACAAGCAAAGCTCCACACCACCCTCCCACCCTCAAAAGAGCAAACTCGTGTTTTATAATCTAGTCTTCTCTACACAGCCTGTTGCCAAAAATTTACCATTTTTCCAAAAAGGCCCTCCAGGAGTTATTGTTTTATGAACAACAAGGCCAACAGGCATGCAAATACACATAAATTTATGAAACATACTCATGATAACTTCATAAGCTGGTAAAATTTAGAAAAAGCACAGAAACAATGCCGAAGATAGATAGGGTCTGCAGCAGTGTTCTCTGGAACCCTGACAAAAAATTCAAATCAAGAACCAAATACTGAGCCAGGGAGATAGCTCAGTAGAATAAGCGCCTGCCTGGCAAGCATAAGGTCCTGAGTTCAATCCCTGGTACCACAAAAAAAAAAAAAAAAAAAAAAAAAGAACCAAATACTAAATCCTTCAAAATAGTATTATTTCAAAATATTCTTCATATATTGAATATAATTTTTTTTTTTTTTTTTTTTTTTTTTTTTTTTGCAGAACCGGGAATTGAACTCAGGCCCTTGCACTTGCCAGGGAAGCGCTTATTCCACTGAGTATTGAATATAATTTTAAAAGAAAGAACTTTGCTGCTTGGGAGGCTGCAGCAGAACACTGAGGGTTCAAGGCCAGGCTGGACTATACAGTGAGTTTGAGGCCAGCATAGACTACACAGAATGAACTAGACTTAAAAGCACAACGCCCCATGCTGCTGTGATTTACGTCTGTCTCCCCATCCACTGGTAGCCACTGTTTGCAGGAAAGAACAAGGACCTAGAAAAACACCACATAATCCCTGCTCCAATCCACCCACAATCCTTTCGAATTTTCAGACTAACAGGTCCACACGTGACATGCAAATATGCTTCAGGAAATAAGTCAGGCTAGATATTTAAAACTGTACCAGAATACAAACTTCATTCCTGTACTTTAAGGCTACTGAGGTTTATAACCATTCAAAACTGACAAAATTTATTTTTAAAAATCTATAGTTTTTTATTAAAGCTATAGTGTTAGAATTTCAAAATGCGATATATCAGATCACAGTCTTTCACAATTAAAAATACGAATGCAGGAAATTTTTCTAAAAACACTTGTCCTTTTATGAAATATTTCTTGTATTTTTTTAAGAATAGAAAGCTTTTAAAAATTCTTTTATATTTATCTCCTTGTAGGTCCACAACCTCAGGCCTGATAAAATGGCTTTGCATGAAGAATTCACATAAGCTAAAAATCTGTTTGCTTTTAGAAAACTTACGTAGAGGTACAAGTTCACAAAGTTGTGACTAAACAGAAAGACTCTTTCCATGGAATATTTAAACTACTTCAAACCTATTTATCCATTTTATATTCTATTTAAAAATCTAACACTTTTGTTCACCATGTTAAAAAAAAAAATCAAGGAGCAAACAACAGAACATGCTTTAAACAACTGGCAAATTCTGTATTTTTAAGAGTAAATGCGTATTTTAAAACAGTATGTGAAAAAGTCTTACAGCCAAGGGTATACTGACATGATTATCAATACTTCCAATGAAACAAATCTCAAATTATGTATAATTATTGTCCATCTTAGTTACCTTTCATCTGAAATTCAGGAGGAATGTGTGGCCACTGTAGGGAAAATTTATGTACTGAAAAGTTTATTAGAAAAATAAACAACTTTAAACTTTACAATATTTTCTACTTCAAGATGCTTTTAAATAAAGCAGATGTGCCTTATGGTTTAAACATAATCTGATATACAAAATCTCAATTTCTTCTATTTTGTGAAACAAAATACAAAAATACAAATGGTAAAATGATGGGTTATATAACTATTAACAAATTCAATGTAAAAGTTCCCCAAAACATTTGTTGTAGGAGCCTAATACGGCAACGTTTACTGTAAAATAGTACCAAACAGCTTTCACCAAATTGAATGTACTGTCTTAACTCAACACTATTATATTAAAGTCCAATATGTAAAAAATCCAAGGTTTAAGTTCATTCTCCCAAGTTTTATCACCTGACAAGGGAGAGAGCAGCCAACTCTTCCTACAGACCAGACAGTACGGATTTCAGGCTTGTAGGCCTGAGGTCTTGCTGCTCGCCGCCCCGGCGCAGGGAGCAGCAGTTGGCGGCCACCCTGCCACCCAGAGGCTGCGTGTGCGGGTGCAGCTTGCCCAGTGCAAGACTGCACGTGGATGCGGAGTGAGACATCATTTCAGGCACCATATTACGAACGTCCTACTTGGGAGTAGAAAGAACTATGTAGACGGGCAGTGAGAATAATACAGACAAGGAGGTATCAATAAATGAACAACAAGGATTAAAATGTTCACACTTTCCAATCATATCTGAACGTGTGTAAGTATATATGTGTATACATACAAGCTATAAAATTAGCTCATTTTAATTCCATATTTTTTTTGGTGTGCTATTAGTATCAAACCAAAGTTAGATGAGCAGCAAAAGGACAGTGAGTGACCGAGGACTCCAGGGCTAATCACTAGCCATGAAATCTGGCCAACGTTGAGGCATCTCTACACAACGAATGGCCTTTATTCACTGGGCCCCTGAAGACAATTTTGGGTGTGTATATTCAGGTGTCACTTGAAAATTTAATCAAAGTGTTACAATTTGAAGCTAAATGTGATTTGCTTTGTTTTATTAGAAAAAAATACTCAAGCAAAGTCTACAATCATCGGTCAATTAAGGATGACTTACAAGACAATGAAGCAATAAAATAAAATAAAAATACAGGCACAAACTATATATCTGAAACTTCTATTTGGCAATTTTATAACAAAACAAAATTTAAAAAGAACAAAAGAGATTGCAGATTACTTCGCAGATACAAAATAAAGCAACTAATGAAGTGCTTAAGCAAAGACAACAAAAATAGTAAAAAAGCACACTGCTTTTCTTTTCTTTTAAAAAATAAAATCACATTTGCTACAGATCATGTTGATAATACCCTTATTAAACAACCTTTCCAGAATGTCTTCTAGTAGCAGTGCTTTTTTGCACTTTAGTTTTATATGACTCATTTTATGTATATAGCTCTTTACCCCACTGTTAACGAATAAAGTCTCCCATAATTTTTACCACTTTTTTAAACAAATGAGAAATGATTTCTATATCATGGAATCTTTCCCATTTTGGAACCAAAGGTTTAGTTCTATATTTTTGTCTATTATTTATTTTATAAATTTAGTGTAAAAACTGCTGGTTCATATCAGTGTAGTAAAGTGAAAACTCCTCAATTAGGAGTATTTTGTGCAGTCTGACTGCCTATAACCATATACTTTACAGTATGTCCTTCCAACAGTAAGGAAAAAATGGACTTCACGGTCACTATCAGAAATGAGTGCCTTAATTTTATTTCGGGTACAGGTCCTCCCTCAAAGACTTTCTGGAAGGCTGTTCAATGTTTTGTTCTTATAGATATTAACAGTAGTACATAGTCCTTAGGTCTGCAAAAGACATTTATTGTTAAAGAAGGTGCTTTATTAACAATTCCTCTGGCAGCACTAGTGAATTACAATATCCTTCAATATTATTTCTACCATAATATATACATTTAACTTTCATGCCTCTAGAAAAACATCTACAGTACATTTCATAATATAAAAATATATTACAAATCTGCTGAATTATTTACAAGCAATGTTCTATTAACTCTATGGAACATTTGTTTGATACAATACTAACAAGTTACACATATTTCCATTTCTGTAAGTTAAAAAAAATTCCATATGGCTTCTTGCTTACCAAGCAAGAAAATGATTTTTATTTTCCTTTTCAAAACCAACTTTGGTGCATAAAAGATTCAGTTTGAAGATACTTTAAAAAAAATACAATTTTTCTTACATTAAGAAAAAACAATTCAAAAACCAAATGCTTTCCTCAGAAAAAAATTAGAGTCATATAGGTTAAATGAAAATACAAATATTCCAATTTGAAAGAGGTTTTTCAAAAACCGTTAACAAAGTGAGTTATCCAAGTAAATATCAATATACTGTACTCCATGAGAAAGCCCTAGTCCTGAAAGGGAGCCACCAGACACTGCGACACTCTTTAACAGAGACTTTCAGCCCTAATTCGATAGACGAATTTTTAGTTGATTGCAAATGCTGTTCACGGTTTGCTTAAATACAAATTGAACACTTTTCTTATCAGAGTTCTGCAAAAGAACACAAATGGCAACCAATCACATCTATTTATCATGGCTGAAAAGTTAATTATCTCGAGAATTTTCATTAAATATTGCCTAATACGACTTCAAATCAATAGATACTGTCAAGACAAATATCCTTCCAGTGCTTTTGGTATTTGGAAGGGCATGTGTTGTGATTATTTTTCTTTCCAATGAAACTACTGTAATCACTAAAGGGAAAAAAAAAAAAAAAAAAAAAAGCAGCTTAAAGCAGCACGCATGCAAAGCCTTTCAGAAGCTGTTCCTAAGTTGCCAAACAGTGTCTGTTCAGGCTCCCGCAGTACCATTCCATGAGTGTGGATTACAGTAATATATTAATATACTCCACAGAGAGCCTACTCCATTCACAGAATGTTTACGCTAAGCATAAATATTACTCTAAATACTGGATTAGAAGAAAAAAAAAAAAAAAAAAGAGGAAGGGGTTGACTCTAATGTGCAACTTTTCCTAAACCCATTGTCAGTGACTAAGACTGCAGGTGTCCCCGCTTGTTTGCTTTTATGTATTTATTTATTTTTTTACCTCTTCAACCTCTTCTGCGGCATTGTTCTAGAAAAAGAGAAAAAGGAATTTTCTTTTATTCAACTGAATTAAAACACAATGAGCAGTTCAAACAAGAAATGAAAAAAACAGATACAGGCAATGTGATGACCACAGAGCATCAATAAAAGCCCTGTCCACATGCTGGTGCCGACAGTCCCAGCTATGGGGAGGCTGGAGCAGGCCATCTCTTGAGCCCAGGAATTCAAAGTCACCCAGGCAATAACAGCAAAACCTTGCCTCAATACATACATACATACATACATACATACATACATACAAGGGCAAAAAGAAACAATATACTCAGTTACATAACAAGAGCTATTTAATCTTTCCTGTAGCTTGCTAATGTGTTCCTAAGAAAGAATTTAACATCTAACACATTTTAACCAATTGCTACTAGTTTAAAAACCCATGTTCGGATCCCAAATAAATGATGTTCTTAGACTATTCTGAAGATATTTTTGGAAAGTCAGACAGAAGTATGTATTTGTTCCTCCTAAAATGTAAGTTAGGGTAACTTTTCCCTGCCTACTTCCCCATTTCCTAGTCCACATCAAGAAACTCCATGCTGCACCACGGCAAAGAAAGGGGCTTCCACAACTGCACTGCTCTACTTCTCAGTGGAGGCGGGGGAGGGACAGCTCAGGAAATTATATCCACAGAAGCACCTAATGACTTCAGTGTCCTCATTTCCCAAGAATGAAACTGGTGGCTGTAGAATCAAAAACTTTGAGAATTATCATCCAATGGCATTCCTATGTACTTCTCAACATTAGTACTTCGTTAAATCTCTTGCACAAAAATACCGAAACTGCACTTACACGGCACAAGAGCAATGAAAGTGAGCTGCTCCCATGAGTCAGGAAGTGGGGGAGGGAGAAGGAGCCCCCTGCACAGGTAGAGTGGGCCTGCCCCTCCCTGCTGGCCTCCCGGGGCAGCCAGCCTCTGAGGGAACACAGGCACATGAGGCACATCTTCTCCGGTGCTAAGTTAACCTCTCCCCTCAAAAGGAAACGAACACTAATTTTCTCTTGATAAAGAAGTACAGTAAATTGTCACTTTTCCACCTTCTTGGCAGTGCATTTCCCTCGATCCTCTCCTGAATTATCTATCTCATCATACAAAGAACAAATGTCACTGCTAAATGCAGTTTAACCAAAGGATGATCAAAAAGGAAATTTTCGAAAGAAAAATCAGTCTGGCTGTCACCACAAAGCAAGGCCCTTTCTGTTAGAATCTCATCCTGAAGCTGGCGAGGTGGTGCAGACCTATACTCTCAGCTGATACGCAAGGCTGGGAAGTCCATGTCCTACCTGAGCAACTTATAGTGACTCCGTCTCAAAATAAAACATTTTAAAAGGGCTGGGAAAAAATAAAAAGTGCTCGGGAGGTGGCTCAGGGTGGAGGCCTTGGGTTCAATCCCACCACCAAATAAATATTCCTTCTCATAAAAATCTCTCAAAAATATAGGAACTGTGCTACACTCAGCAACATTCAAAACAACTGAGTCATGGAATGAACAAAATCTGTGAGGTGCTCAGTTACCACTATGAAAACCTGCTAACTACGAAAATTAAAACATCCTCCAACTAGCTTGGTGTGATGGGATACAGAAGGGCTGCTGCCTGAACTACACGGCAAGCCCCACATCGAGAAACCCTTCAGTTATGTCACCTTATTTCCAGTTCAACCTATTCCCATGTAAAACATGTTAGATTATAATTTTATTCCTGGCATTTAAAGCTATTTCAAACCAGGGATATAGCACAGCGGCAAGAAACCTGTCTGGCAAGCATGAGGTCCTGATTTTGATTCCCAGTACAAAAAAGAAAAGAAGAAGCTATTTCATTTAAATAGCATTTAGAGACTATTTTAACCATTTTCAGCCTTTGCTAATCACGCTTGGGCAAAGACACTGTGGAGCTGAGTGCACACTGTAGCCTTGTGCACAGGATGCACCTAAACTCCAAACTGCCGCCTTAATTCCAAGGGCCAGGGAGGGGTTATATATGTGCAGGGAGTGGGAGGGGTGGAGCTGTCCTGCTGGTACCACCATGCCCCAGGAAAAGGGTAGAGCAGAGCGGGACTGAACCCCCCAGGACTGGACACACAATACTTAAACTGCTCTATGAGAAACATACAGATCCTTAAAAAGACAACTAGTTAATGGTATTTAGGACAGTGATAAATTCCCAGGTTCTCTGGGCTAGTAAGACACAAAGAACTGCATACTTAAAACAGAAGCCACTTAACTTCAGATAAATCTAGAATTAGCCAGGCCTATAAACTTTACCAAGCTACTATTTTTCTGGATTTTATCCTTGTTATGTGCCATAAATTCCACATGACAAATGGAATGAAAGTAAGGCATGCAGTGCTAATATTCAGTAGAGGTTGACTATCCCACATTGAAGTTCAAAATGCACTGAAATCTAAAGCTTTCTAGGCAGTGTCTGTGCAAATATTCTAAAATTTAAAAATAAACTTACAACATTTCTGGTCCTAAGTATTTTAGATAAAGGACATGTAAACTATACTCAAAAATAAACCCCAACTTCTCCAATACTTAGACTAAATATTAAAATTAAAAAGTAAAGAAATAAATTACCTGTATATGTTTGGATCCAAAAGCAAGGCAGTATCTTTGGGTAGCTTTGATAAATGAACTACTTTAGTTTTCAATTGATGTCGTTCACTCTCATTCACCCACACATCTGGCAGACTGTAAATTGTTTTAAAAAAGACACTAAAAACACTCATTTTAGATTTCTCCTCCATCTGCTTCCCACCCGGGGGCTGGTACTGTGGGGTGGTCTGCCTACACTAACAAGCCTCCAGAGGCAAGGGAAGCTCAGTCATCTAAACTTGGCATCACGTGGACTCTCACAAAAGAAATGGCAGGGGTGGGGGAACACAACTGTGACCTCAGAACTCTGTGAGGCTGAGGCAGGAAGAAAGTTTAGGCCCTCTAGCAACTTAGCAAGCAAAATCCTATCTGGAAAAAAGTTTGAAAAAGCATATTTATACTTAAATTACTCAATATCACATGCCACACTGGCCTGGGCCTCATCCCCAGGGCATGCTGAGCTTGTGAAAAGAGTACAGGTGTGGTGGCGCATGCCTATAATCACAAGTCTAAGTTGTGTAGTGAGACTGTACCAAATACATTTTTTTTTTGGCAGAACCGGGTACTGAACTCAGGCCTTTTCTACTAAGCCATGTCCCCGGCCCCTGAAATAATTTTTTAAAAAGTGAAGAAAAAAAGAATGAAAAAAACTCAATATTCAAAACACTAGATACTTGATTTTGACCTTTTTTTTTTTTTTCCTGTATTTTAGGGAAGGGTCTACAGGATGTTCAGGGTTTCACTACTAGATCAGACTCCCAGTGATTCTCCTGTTTACACTCTCCCACGTCCTGGGATTATAGGCTCATGCCACCACGCCCAGTCTCAACTGCCCTCTCAGCAAGCCACAGGGGGCGGGGCCCACAAGGCAGGCCCGAGGATCGAACCCACCGCCCCTGCTTGCTTTAATCCACTGAGCTATTTGGCCGGCCCAACATTTTTTAAATTATGTACAGGGTCTACAGGTCTCACTATGCAGATCGGACTTCGGACTTATAGTGTTCCTTCGTGTTTTTCAGCCTCCCAAGCACTGAGATTACAGGCGCACACCACCAAGCCCAGACGTCTCAGTGCGCCCCCGAGGGGACAGGCTGGAGATCAAACCCCAGCCCCTGTGTCTACCTAAGCAGTGACTTTAATCTGCTGAGCTATCTGGCTGGCCCGATTTTTGACACTTTTTAAAAGAGCTAATGTTTGTATCTTCAATATAAAGTGATCTTAAATAGCAATGAGAAGTAAATGAGAATTCATGGGGAGGGGGCACACACACAAAAAAATCACTTGCTCACCAAAATGAGACCAGTTTGGTCAGGTGTGGTGGTACACAGCTATAATCCCAGCACCGGAGAGGCTGAGGTAGGAGGATCGCCACCAATTTGAAGCTACCTGAGGCTACACAGTGAGTTTAATTAAGGCCAGACTGAACTGCACAATGAGACTCTTATCTCAAAAAAAACACCTGAAGAACAGTTTTTAAAAAAAAATTATACTACTTGGAATGAGAGCAGTGTGGCTCAGAGCATGCGCAAAAGCGCACATGCAAGATACTGAGTTCAACACCCAGCACTCCCAACATAGAAGCCGATGCTGACAGTAAACCAGAGAGATGAGCGCTCTAATGGAGTGGATGGGTCTATAAGCTGGCACCAATCTTCAGAGAGGAAGCCCTTACCACTCTTTAACATTTTGTACAGTGTGTACTGTGAGATTTTTGCATCACTTTTTTATAGTAAACAGAAACAGCTTTAATTTTTAGCAAAAAGTCATCACATAAATGAAGATTAGCATGTTCACAAAACCAGTCTAGCTTGTGGAGTAGAGCTGTGATTTGTGTGTGTGAGTGTGTGTGTGCGTGTGTCTGGTTGTGCGCATGCGCACATGTGCAGGACATGATAACTCAGAGAAAGCTGGGGAAAATGTGTCCCTAAAACCACCGGATCTGAAAACTCACAGACTTTCTTACTATACTAACGTGCCTTGTTCATTTTCAAATCCGTGTAACAACTATTAGTCAATACCACACTTGGAAGCATCTCCTTAGAAAGGAGTTGGGAAAACAGTATTGGGGAGGGGAACAAGTATTAGCTATATACTGTTAATTTTTGAAGCATACACAAAGTCTCATTCATGTATATGCATTTATATTCATTTTATTTTTGGTGCTTATCAGCTCTGTGTAAAAATCTACTGATACATTTTCATTACTTTTTGTAACAAAATCTTAAAATGGTAAAAGGGAAATTAAGTATGAAAAATCTGAATTGAGGAGGATTTAGGTAAAAATATTCTTTTTTTAAAAAATTTATTTATTTTTTTATTTGTGTGTGTGTGTGTGTGGCCAGCTCAGCCCACCAGGGGCGGGCTGGCTGGCATGTGGTGCTGGGGGATTGAACCGCGGTCCCTGTGCTTTGCTTAGCTTGTTCTAAGTTGGTGCTTTAGACCACTGAGCCATCTCGCCAGCCCCGGTAAAAATATTCTTGAAGGATCCTAAAACACAAAAATGTCATGGCTGCTGGAAACCCAGGCAACAGCTTTTCTTTAAAACACCATTCCCGAAGGGCTGGCCAAATAGCTCAGCAGATTACAGCACCTGCAAGCAGGTAACGGGGCCAGGGGTTCAAAACCTGGGCCTGCTGTGCCAGCCCTACCCCCGTGGCGTGCTAAGAGGGCAACTGAGCCTGAGCGTGGTGGTGAGTGCTGATAATCCCAGCACTTGGGAGGCTGTAAACAGGAGGATCACTCCAAGTCCGATCTAGTACTGAGACCCTGAATACCCTGTAGACTGTCCCCTAAAATTTAAAAAAAAAAAAAAAAAATCACTATTCCCTGTATCCTAGAAAACACATACTAGTCTAAATTAAAAAATTCTGAAGTCATGGGTAAGCTAAGGCTACTTACTACGTGAGGTTGTTAAAAATCCTAAAAGTTGTGTGTGGTGGCATACTGCACTTAGGAGGCTGAGGTAGGAGGCTTGCAAGCTAGAGGCCATCCTGGGCTATTATATAGCAAGTTTGAGGCCACCCTTCACTACACAGCAAGATCCTGTCTCAAAAGACACCCCCTTAAAAAAAAATCCTAAAAAGCATCATATCCTAAAAATGACATCAGAATTGTCACAGTTGGACATGGTGGTGCATGTTGCCTACAATCCCAACTATTCCTATGGCAGGAGGATTTCAAATTCCAGGCCATTCAAGGCCACTTAAACAGATCCTGCCTCAGAATCTTAGGGGTGGAGATGCAGCTCATTGGAAGAACAACTGTGTAACCCAAGGGACACATTCAATCCCCAATAACCCCAGCGGGGGGGCTTGCAATGATTTTTACTAAGAACAGTAATGAGGTCTCCAGCTTTTATTAACCTGAGTCACGTACTCTTACAGTTTTCAGATTCTCTTTAATCCTGACAACCTCAAAGCACTGTCCACTTTCTTTAGATCTTTTAAATTTAGTTTTGTCGTTAAACTTTAATAAAAATACACAGATGTATTAGGCACAGTAATTCAAATACTTACATATCTTCAGGCATCCAATGAAGCAAAAGTTTTATCTTTCCAGAATCCTCTTTTCTCTTAGCTATTACCTAGCAAGGATAAAGAAAGAAAAGTAATTCATAAGATGTCACTTTAGTTATCACTATGCCTCACGGGTGCAGGATTTTCAGAGATTGTCAAATCTAGAGTTTGTGACTGACTCATGGTCCAGGGCTGAGAGTATGGTTGAAAGTGGTACACTAGCCCTAGGACCAGCAGCCTGCACACAATACCAAGGCCAGAAAGAGGCCTGCCTGTGCTCTCCTCTGCTCTCTTCCACTGCTATGAATGTGTATCCCTCTCCCATGTGCCGCCCTGCCCTGGAGCCAGCCCGTTATAGACTAAAATTTCTACAAACTGTGAGCTTAATAAATCTTACCTCCTTAATTTTGGGTGTTGAGTATTTTGTCTCAGCAACAAGTGAAAAATAACTATGACAGCTTTCCTCAGTATCAATAAGCTGAACATATTATCACTACAACATTATATTATACCTTTTCCTGCTTTGTAGTAGTAGGAAAACCTCTTATCTTTCCCTTAAGACTAAAGCTCCCTGTACATAGGAATCTTCCCATCTAGACTTCCACATGACACCACCTACATTGAGTTTTTAATAAAAAATGAGCTCGCCCAAGTATCACCATCTCTTTGCCTTCTAACCCCAGTAAGTTTTAAGGACCCTAGCATGTGTTCCCCAAACGCTGAATGCTTACTCTATACTGGAGTATATTCTACTCTCAGGGCTTCAAGAGTCTTTCATTCTCATGGAATGCACGATTTTTGCTTTTGTTTTTGAGTGCTAAGGACTGAAACCTAGGGATTCTTGCAGGACAGGCAGTACCCCACCCTTATGGAGTTATTTTCAGAGAACAAAGAGTAAAGAAAAAAGTCCTAGGAAAGTAAACATCTCTCTAATGTCAACTAAATCATTTGTCATTTGTTTGTAGTTTTGCTGTGGTACTTGATGGTTTTACATCAAATGAAAGAAAAGGCGAACATCTTTGTCTTTGGAATTAACACGTTCATGATTCATTTGTCTCACTGCTGATTCAGAACCACCAGTGATGCACGCATGACTGTGCCATCAAATAGGACAAACTGCCCAATGACACAGTCACACAGGTGGTTCCACCCCAAAGGAATGTGTTCATCCTAAGGAATTTACCTAATTTAAGAGGTGACTAAAACAGAATAAAAAGAATTAAAGTATAATAAAAGTCAGGCATAGTGGAGTACACCTATAATCCCAGAACTTGGGAGGCTGAGGCAGGATGAATGACCACAGCAAGCTGGAGGCCAACCTGGGCTACACAGTGAGTTCAAAGCCAGCCTAGTGGCTTTGAACATAGTGAGACCCTGTCTCAAAAAACCAATTTATCATTAAAAAATTATGATAAAAACAATACACTGCTGCACATGTGGTTAAGTATAGAGTATCTCTAATACACATGTGGCCCTGGGTTCGATGCCCACACATACCCACTCCTAAAAAAAGGCAAGTCATAAATAACCAGATTGTGATGCTCTTTTTTTTTTTTTTTTGGTGGAACCGGGGACTGAACTCAGGTCCTTGAGCTTGCCAGGGAAGCACTTATTCCACTGAGCCATCTCCCCGGCCCCTGTGATGCTCTTAAAATTTTCCATAGTACATATATTTTAGCAACATCAATCCCAGTATTCTTGAACAAGTGTTAAGTTGTAAATATCTTCCCAAAATTAGCTCATCCTAAAAAGTATTTAGTATTGAGTAAAAAAAGAGAAACAAAAAAACATTTTCTCTATTATTAATTTAAATACTGTAGGTAAATAAACTAATTATAGACACAACAGTAAAATCAAGAAAATCCCGGGCTGGTGAGATGGCTCAGTGGTCTGAAGCACCTACTTAGAACAAGCTTAGCAAAGCACAGGGACCGCGGTTCAATCCCCCAGCACCACATGCCAGCCAGCCCCGCCCCCTGGTGGGCTGAGCTGGCCACACACACACACACACACAAATAAATAAAATTTAAAAATAAAATAAAATATAAATAAAAAGCAAAATAAAAAGATTTAAAAAAAAAAGAAAATCCCAAGAACAGATCTGAAGGTGCTAAAACAAAATATCACTGCAATCAGAAGACAGAAAAACAATGCAAGCCAACCAACCACAGTAAGTCAACTATTAGTTGCAAGACTTCTGCTGACCTCTTCTGGAGAATGCTCGATAAAAATATTTCAATTTTATTTTTCCATAATTTTATTGAGAAACAAATAGCAATGAGACAGTTTCAAATCAAATTGGTAGAGGACAGTTCCAATAATTAACATATTGCATACTCTCTTCCTAGTGGTTATTTGTTGTACAAGATGCAGATTCAATTTTAAAAATAAGACAAATTAGTACTAGGTAAAGTAGGCTATCTGGGGGGGGGCAGGCATTTTCATTATCAGTGTGGTAATTTCTTATAAGAATTAACACTGGTTAAAAAAATTAGCCAGCCAGACAGCTCACTGGATTAAAGAGCCTGCATAGGCAGATGCAAGGACTGGAGCTCCACCCCCTGAATGCTGTGCTGGCCCTGTCCCCACCCCCAGGGTGCACTGATTGACCCTGGGTGTGGTGACACACGCCTATAATCCCAGTGCTTGGGAGGCTGAAAACAGAATTACTAGTGAGACCCTGTACTAAACACATTAAAAAAAGAACCTTCCCAGCTTGAATCTGCAGAGAACTTGCTCTGACTTCAGCTCATTATGCATGTGCCCTTCATTTTTCCGCCCATATGAAAACTCATTTCCCAGCTGACACTACAGAGTGGCTCCCTGGATCAAGGTACCTCTGCTTTTTCCTAATTACCAAAGGGTTCATATCCCCCGCTGCTCAACCCAAGAGGGCAGTAAGTCCTACTACCTTTCAACAGCTAGAAAACTACTCTTCATAGACTATTTTAACCTCCAGCAATTTTCTAACTTTCTTCTTAGATTCCTATGCTGGTTGATACATTGTGTAAACTTTAGAAATTTAGAAGTTTAATTAAGTGACTCAGCAAACACCCAGGATTCTTACTTTGTAAACATCTTCATCCTGAGCAAGAGGAGGGCACCGACATTGTGTGAGTCCTATACCTCCAACCCCAGGGCAGTTTGTTTATAACAAGGAATGGAGTGAGGCTGACCAGAATCCATAAACTGCTGCTCTGCCATGTGCCACTTTGCCTGGGAGCCTGGGAGCCAGCCAAATATAGACTAAAACCTCCACAAACTGTGAGCTAAATAAACCTTTCCTTAATTTTGGGTGTTGGATACTAAGTCCCAGCAACCAGTAAAAAGTAACTGAAACAACTTCTAATATTATCACCATTGTTATTAGTGCCTTTTCTTGATTAATTTTTAAGGGGCATCAGGAAGGTCTCTCTTCCTTCCATGATGAACCTAAGGAGTTCATTGGAAGGACTACTCTGATGGAAGCATATTCAAGTATTCAAGCTGGTGTCTTTTTGAAATACCTCTGACATGCTAAAACTCCCACGTATTTGTATCTTGGCCCATACTTCCCTGAGCTCTAAACTGGCATATCCACCTGTCTGCATGACTCAGCTGTAAGAATAAAGCGCTACAGACCTGACAATATCCAGATGAGACCGTGACTCCTTCATCACGGCAACTCCATCACTACAGTCAGATGTACTGTTCAAAAGAAAAGGCCTCAGAGTCCTCCCTTGCTCTCATTCTCAAACCTGGCATCTGTAAGTCCTGTAAGAACCGACTCTCTGGCCCTAGCCCTCTCATTCTCACCCAAGACTGAAAAGATGACTCTCCCTTTCCCCACCCGTGACCTCCTACAAAGGAGGTCAGAAGCCAAGTGAATGTGCTAACAACTATGAGAGAGGAAAAACACTACCCTTTCCTGAGCAGGAAAGGGTACTCTTCTCTAACTGCTGGGACAAAACACCCAACACCCAAAATGAAGGAAGGAAAGGTTTATTTAGCTCACAGTAAGTAGAAGTTTCAGTCCATATTCGCTGGCTCTAAGGCAGAAGGCACAGAGCAGACAGCAGCCATTCATGGTGGTGGCAAAGAGCACAGAGTGAAGGGAGTGGCAGCAGCTCAGGCAGCTAACTAGCCTCTCTCCCCTCCTTACACTATAATGCAGAGTATCTGCCCCACTGTACTCATGCCCATACTCCCAGCACTGAATTAAGACTCAATCACAACTCCAGAAGCTGACCCATGATTGCATGAGGTTTTGGGGGGACACCTAGACACAAACCATAATGCAGAGGCAGTGAAAAACTGAAAAGCTACACCAGGAAACCTGGGAGCGATGGGAATTTTCTGTATCCCAAGTACTGAAGTGCGTGCCACAGGTAAGTGCAACCGTCAAGTGGGTGCCATTCCTTATGAACTAGTCCTCAATAATTAGCCTTTAAAACCTGCACTACATGACACCTTACCTATGCTGCCTCGGTGGCTTCCCTCCCCAAGCAGAAAAGAAGCCTGGACTCTACCTAGTAAGACCTTTTTTTTTTTTTAAACTTTTTAAAAAAAATTTACTTACTTACTTTATTTATTTATTTTGGCAGAACCAGGGATTGAACTCAGGCCCCTGTGCTTGCCAGGGAAGCGCTTACTCCACTAAGCCATCTCCCTGGCCCCAAGACCTTTCTTACCGTGCCTCCTACCCTCATTTTCTCCAGCTACACACCTTCTCAAGGCTCAGGTTCAAATGCACCTGGCATATTTCTACCTCCAGGCATTTTGTTTCATTTCCCCCTTTGGCTAAAACATTGATCCCCTTAATAACTCAATGGCTCGTGCCTGCACTTCTTTTTAAGGGTTTACAGCTTTACACATCTTTCACACAACTATTTATCATCTCTCTTAGAGTGCAGCCATCATTGTTTTGAGGAGGAGGGTAGGTAGTAAGGGCAAGGGCTATTCTACTCATCTATTTTGTTCCTTGATAGTGTTCCAAATACAGTATCTGACTCACACCAACTCTTCAGTACTTAAGTGAATGAAAAAAATTAAGCCCCACTGTCACATTCTGGGCTTCATGGCCAGACTTTTATCTCCCCCTTTTATTCTTTTTTATTTTTTTTATTTTTCATAATTTTATTGAGAAACAAACAGCAATGAGACAGTTTCAAATCAAACTGGTAGGAAAGCTTCAATAATTCACACATTGCATACATTCTTCCTAGTGGTTAATTGCTGTACAAGACGCGGACTTGATATCCTATTTACAAACACCATTAGAGCAAATCCCTCTATTCATTAAGAGAATGTAACTATATATCTATCCTAACCACTTTGAATACCCAGATACAAAATGGACATTCATCTGTATACCCTTTTTTTGTTAAGTTCCGTTATTTGAATATTATAGGTGTGTAAACTCAGCAAAATATTCTAAAAGAGTCCAGTAGCCCATAATAGTATTGGGTTTTCCGCTTCACTGGCAATGTCAGAAATTGTTGACCTGAGTCCCCCACAGCTCAACATAATAGCATGGCTTTACTTCTTATACTCCGTTTTTATACTTTTCTGCTAGATGGCTAAGACCAAGGTAAAGCAAGACCTATGCAACAAGAGTTGTAGCTTTTGGGTCTGAGAAGGTCAGTGAAATCCCCTCAGGATTTATCCTGAGATCCTGTACCTCAGATTGTAGATCCTTTGTCAGTGTCAGCCATGTGAATGAGTCACGGCCATTGCTTGGCCAATGTGCTCTCTGTGAAAGCCTGAGAGAATGTTTTCTCTCCATGTGACTCTCCCTAAGCACACTCTACATCATCGATCACTTTCCTCTTTGGCCCCATAATCTCCTTGATCAGAAAATTTGGGACAATACTGAGTTACACGATGTTAACAGTACAAGTTCACATATATCCTGAGTCTTAATTGACCTTGGAAGGCTAGGGCCAAAAAGTTGGCTTTCCTTGCAGCCCTCCTTTTTCCCTAATTTGGTCTGCAAACTTAGGTTGTTAACCATCATGGCCACACTTTATTGATTTTTTTTTTTTTTAAAGGAAGATTTCTGAGGGATGGGGATGCAGCTCTGTGGCAGAGCGCTTGCCTAGCAATGCACAAAGTCTTGCATTCCAATTTCTGCAACCTCCACCACCACAACAAACCAGCAAAGAGTATTAGATCCACAACATCATAAATCTATGCTTACAAACTTAAAATAGGAACTTCCAACTATCACTGTTGCGTGAGCTCCTGATCTTAACATTAACAAAAACGTCAAAACCATTCATTCTTGTCTCCAAACAGCCTATTTCCCCTCCAACTCTCTCACTCTACTCACCAAACTGTATTTTCTATGTTCTTTAGAACATCAAGTATAGTGTACCAACTTCAAATTCAAACTCACAACGCCTCCTGTTTTCCAAACCAAAACAACCTTGCCATTCTTTTTTTTTTTTTAATTTTATTTATTTGTGTGTGTGTGTGTGTGTGTGTGTGTGTGTGTGTGTGGCCAGCTCAGTCCACCAGGGGGCGGGGCTGGCTGGCATGTGGTGCTGGGGGATTGAACCGCGGTACCTATGCTTTGCTAAGCTTGTTCTAAGTAGGTGCTTTAGACCACTGAGCCATCTCACCAGCCCCAACAACCTTGCCTTTCCTGTAGCCAATCTCCCATTTTGCTGCCTTTCTTTCCATATGTTCAATTCTTAGTACTATCACAACCCTTCCCCCATTTCCAACATCCATAATTGTACCTCTACTTTAAAACTTTACGCATAATGCTCAGTACTGCTCAGTTTTCTACCTTCATATTAACACTACACATTTTATTCTGAACACCACAGGGTTATTATCCTGCAGTCCATGCACGGGGCTGGAACAGAAGCCCACAGCCTATGAAATGGTAAGATACAAGGGTCCTATACAATACCAGGAAAAGCATACAGTATTTCTAGTCTCTAGTTTCAAGATCTGAAAAATCTGAGGGAACGACACTGATGGTATGGAACCAAAAGCACGCCGAATTCTATATGACACACTTGACACCTGCCCTTAGGTCAAGCTTGCTCTATTTACATTTATTTCATACATGCAGTCCACTGTTGGTTACTTCTCAGCTCCCTCAACCTTAAGAGATCTCAGTAAATTACATTTCTTAGAGCCCACTCTAATCTAGATTGAAACTGTTATCACATAAAAATACTAAAAGTTGGGGCTGGTGAGATGGCTCAGTGGTCTAAAGCACCTACTTAGTACAAGCTAAGCTAAACAAAAACACAGGGACCGCGGTTCAATCCCCCAGCACCACATGCCAGCCAGCCCCGCCCCCCCTGGTGTGCTGAGATGGCCACACACACACACACACCCACACCCACCCACCCACACACGCAATAAATAAATAAATATTTTTTAAAAAATACTAAAAGTTTTTTTTCTTTAGTCACTAAGTAATATTTTCATTCCTACAGATAATCCACAAAAAGATGCTACTGGAACATTTCCTCTGCTCTTTTTATCTTTTTTAACTTCTCTGTTTTTTGAAACAGTCACACTTATACGGTCCAGTCTAACCTTCAATTCACTATGTACACAGCCCATAGTAGCCTTGCAGTCCTCCTCCCTCACTCAGGGGCTCAAGTGCTGGGATCACAACTTTTTTTTAAAAGGACAGAAGGGGCCGGGGACATAGCTCAGCGGCACAAACAGCACCTGCCTGGCAAGCACAACATCTGAGTTCCACCCCCAGTACCACCCTCACACACAAAGAGGAGGAGGAGGAAGAAGAAAAAAACAAATAAAAGAGCAGAAGGCAGGGGGCACACATGGAGCTAAAGCAAGCACGACAGATAAAACTTGAAAGCAGCAGGGAGAACAATGATGGTGAATATTATGGTACAGACCTAAAACGTCCCAGAAAGGCTATGTGTTCAGAGCAGAGCTCTGGAGGATACCGAGTGACAAAGCTCTTACTTCGTCAGTAGACTGGCTCACCGATGGCATTCTTGGGAGGGGGTGGAGACAGGAAGTAGGGGGGAGTGGAAGAGTGGGTTCCAAGCCATGTGGCCTGTGGGATGTTAGCTAGTTCCTGTTCCCTTCCTGTCTGCTCTTGCACCCAGTTTCCTGGCTGCCAGGAAGTGGGCAGCCTTGCCCTGCCATGCCTTCGACCATGCTGCTCTGCTTCCTTCAGACCACTGTAGCGAGGCTGCAGACCAAGATCAAAACCCCCAACCATCTCTTCTCCTCTGAGCTGTTTTATGTCAGGGACTTTGTGACACAGACAAGAAGCCAGCATCATGAGCACATGTATTAAAATGAGTAGGCAAAAGCAACAGAAAGGCCAAATGACTGGAAAACAGTACATACAGATGAAGAGTAAAAATATAGCACAATATTATGAGCCTGAAAAATAGAGGTTTAAACTTAATAAGATACCAATACCATCAATGACTGTGTTTAAATTTTTATGATTTTGATTGAGATTATAAATTTAAGATGCTTCATATTTCAATAATCAAAACTAATTATTTTTTTCAGGAACTCAAACTGCCAAAAGCCTGGTTTACAATTTATCTCTCTTTTTTTAAATCTTTACTAATTTACCTCTACCAATTTAAACATGATTGGATAGCTGGGCGTGGTGATGCACACCTGCGATTTCAGGATTTGGGAAGCTGAGGCAGGAGGCCAGCCTGGGCTACATACTAAGTACCAGGTAAATCTGAACTACATAGTGAGAGCCTGGCTAAAAAACAAACTGGAGAGCCGGCCAGATACCTCAACAGACTCAAGTGCCTGCTTAGGCAGAGCGCAGCAGCCAGGGCTCAATACCTGGCTTGCTGTGCTGGCCCTACTCCCAGGGTACGCTGAGACAGCGATTGAGACTGAGCATGGTGGAGCTTGGCTATAATCCCAGCATTTGGGAGGCTGAAAACAGGAGGATCACTACGAGTCAGATCTAGGTAGTGAGACCCTGTACTAAATCCAAAAACAAAACAACAACAACAAAAATACCTAGATAGTATAGTGGCTAGCAAGGCACATGAAAAAAAAAACAATTATGGCCAGCTAACTAAAACATAAACTAGGGGCTGGTGAGATGGCTGATGGTCTAAAGCACCTACTTAGAATGAGCTTAGCAAAGCACAGGGACTGCGTTTCAATCCCCCCCCACACACCACATGCCAGTCAGCCCCGCCCCCTGGTGGGCTGAGCTGGCCACACACACACACACACATTAAAAACAAACAAACAAACAAACAAACAAAAAAAAAAACATAAACTGTACTTAATACTTTTCAAATTTGGTATTTTTTGTCTTGCTATTGTTGAAAAGCTAATTCCCTCAGCAAATGCACTATATACCATGTGCTGAAAACACAAATCTAGGCAACTGGGATATATCCATTGAATAAAACTGATTTAGAATCCACTCCTTCATGGAGCTTTAATGTGGTAGCCAACATTCATTTACATGAGCTAGACATGTAAGGTACATGTAACATACAGGGTATGAATGATCTAAAGGAATCCTATAATTTTAATTATACAAATAATAAAACCAGAAATTAAAAAACATCTAATTTACTTAAGGAAACAGAACAGTAGTAGCACGTATGATCTCCCACTCTATACTCCTCAATAGCTAGGAGCTAAAATGCTCAATTTAATCACAAAAAGAATTAATTATAGGGAGCCCAGTGGCTAAGGTTTAGGGGGATCACCATGAATTCAAAGCCAACCTGATGTGAATAGCAAGACTTGTCCTAAAAACTGAAACACAGAATTACAGGAACTACCTGCTTTATAATCATCAACCCGGGTAATTTTTGAGATACTCAAAAGGTTTTGCAATTTTTTAAAAATACATTTTCTTAGATTATGAATAATTTAGAAATACGACAGCAAAAGTCAAAAAGACACATTTTGACAAATCTATATATGTAATTCCAAAGAACAAATGAATACTTACAGTACTATGAAAAACAACACTGTGTCCCTTCCCTAAACTTTCTATATGCGCTGAGAGGTTAAAGCATATGGCTCGATGTCTTATCGCATCCAGTGTTTGTGCATCGAAGAAGTCATGTGGTCGTGCTAAAAAGTCAACAAAAAAGGTAAAAAAAACATTTAGAAAAGCAGCCAAATAGTCCTGTTTCCTACAAACAGAAGTCTTACAAGAGAGACTGTAACTATAATCGTAAATAAATAATGAACAAGCACCTATCTCACTTAAACACAAGACAATTTTGTTTTCAAAACAAGGACTCTGGTTGGGAAGGTAAAGATGCACCAAAGCATAATTCACAGTGTGAATACAAGCTGGCTAAGTCTCCCCATCACTGTGTGAGATCAGCCTCATGACCCCATGTTGCAGTTACTCTTTCTCATAGAATTTCATCACTTGCTCCATCTTTCTTCAGCACCAATTTTGCATTTTCAATGTGATGAACATCACCACAACACTAGGGTCAAACTCTCCAAGGTCAAAAATAACCAACAGATCTTATGAACATGCTATTTTAATGTGGAATCAAACAGTTTTCAAATGTGACAACCTCATAATATTAGAGAGGTTCGGCAAGTTTTTCTTGATTAAAAACAATTACTCCAACAATTTAAGAAAACTGTAAGTATTCTTCCCCTAGAGATAGGTTCTATGTTGCCTAGGCTGTTCACAAACTCCTGGGTTCAAGACACCTCTTGAGCTTAGGCCTGTCACATAGCAGGCACTACAGTCACAAGCCACTGCACCCATCCACACACACCATTTAACTATGTATGTTTCACCAAGATTAAACCCATCCCATTAAATCCATCAATATTTCCTTCTGTCACTGGGATCTGGGGAGTGAAAGCAAGGCTTTTTCATAGCATTACCTCCCCAGCCTGTCCTGATTTTTTTGGCAGGGTCTCACTTAGTCACTAAATTGCCCAACCAGGCTGTATATCCTGCCTCTGTTTCCCAAGTTGATTACAGGCCTACATCATCAGACCTGACTCTCATCAATACTCTTTTGAATGACAAACAGGCCACCAAAGTTCAGTTCTACCAGTTAGCAGCTAGATGGGTAGGTACACCAGTTTAACCTATGTTAGCCCATTTCTTATTTGTAAAATGAACATAACTTTATAGATTTAACTGAAACTGCTCATGAAAATGCCTTGTGAAGCACAAAGTAGTTTACATCAACAAAGGTCTGGAGCCCAGTGTGGTGGTGGTGGGTGCCTATAAACCCAGCACTCGAGAGGAGGAGGATCGTTGCAAGTTTGAGGCCAGGCTGGGCTACAGACCAGGATGGGCTACAAAGTGAGCTCGAGGCTAGCCTAACAAACACATAGATGAAAGATGTTTAAAATAAACTTTCATATTCAGTAGGTAACTGTGTATCACACAGGCAACATCCCACTACACTCTTGTTATGATTTCTGCCACTCTTACCTGATTCTAACCTAATTTTATAAAAACCACAGCTGGCTATTTTACATTTGTGGGGCTAATTCGATTTTGCTAACAAGAACAAAAGGAGGTGGGGAGGGGGGCTTAATTTCCAGACAGTCCATTCCTAAGTACATGTACACTGGTTTATACACATTACCAAGGCTGTCTGCAGAGTTGTCAGGACACCTACCTGATATACCAAGCTTCTGTGGGGGACAACTGCACTTGCTAACACATTCAAAAGAAAACACCAAACCAGCTCTGTCACTGGGTTTTTCCATAAGACAAATAAGCAAAACACTACCCAATAAGGAACCAGCACAATACATAAGATTAAAAATGCAATTATAATGGGAAATTTAAAAGAAAAATGTAGGACCAGCCAAATAGTTCAGTGAATTAAAGCACTTGCAAGCAGGCGCAGGGGCCAAGGGTTCAATCCCCAGGCCTGATGTGCCGGCCCCCACCCCTGGGGCATGCTGAGCCAGCAATGAGACTGGGTGCGGCATTGAGACTGGGTGCGGTGGCCCGCACCTGTAATCACAGGTCTTGGGAGGCTGTAAATAGGCAGATCACTACAAGTCCAATCTAGTAGTGAGACCCTGAACACCCTACCCTGTAGACCCTTCCCTAAAATTAAAAAAAAAAAAAAAGATTGAAAGACTGAAGCCACTCAACTTCACAGTAAGGAAAACAGCCTGCTTGCAAGCTGTGCACACCCGCTTGCTGTCTGAGAGGCTGAGGGGCAATGACCTCAAACTGGACCCCAGCAGAGGTCCTGGAGTTTGCTCACTAGTACACAAAGAAAGTCATTAAACCTCAGAATTTATGTGTTCAGACTTAATCAGGCCATTAATCTCCACTCTAAGAAGGGCTTGTGCGCCGTCTCTGTTCATCTCAATGATTAAGTATATATGCAACATGGCTGGTGCCCCAGTGTGTACACACAAGCATAGTAAGCTCCACAGCAGGTACATACTGTGATCCATAAGAGTAAAATGAAAAGCTAGGTGAGGCTGCACACATCTGTAATCCTAGTACTCGGGAGGCTGAGGTAGGGAAATCAAATCACTGAGCCCAACCAGGACTATATAGTGAGCTCAAGGCCAGCCTGAGCTACACAGCAAGACCCTGCCTCTAAAATGTGGGGTGACAGGAGCTTTCTTTCTCTCAATAAATATATTCTGCTCATGAAAAAAAAATGTGGGGTGCAAGGGGGTGAGCATTTGCCTTTTTTTTTCCCTGGTGAAACCAGGGATTGAACTCTGGCCCTTGTGCTTGGCAGGGAAGCGCTTATTCCACTGAGCCATCTCTGCGGCCCCGCATTTGTTTTTCATTTCATCCCTTTCAACTATTTTCTGGAGTTTATAATGTGTTTATATCACCTGTGTACAATGTACATACTACATATGTTAAAACTGTGACAAAGCATTTTTTAACATAAAACATATAGCCAAAAACCTCTAGAAATCACAAAAGAGAGACCTTTCCTATAGTTATATATAAAAATGATGGTGTGGTTATGTAAAAGAATATTCTTAAGACATACATTAAGTATTTTCAGCTCATGGTTAAATTCTTGGGAATATAAGGAGCAAGCATTCTCTACTATTCTTCCCACACACCTGTAACCCTAGTTACTCAGGGGGAGGTAGAAAACTTCGTGTGTTTTTTTTTATATATATTTGGTACAGGTTCTCACTAAGCAGCCTGGACTCCTAGTGATCCTCCTATTTTCAGCCTCTCTAGTGCTGAGATTACAGGCGTGCACTCTCATGCCCATCTCAGTGGCAGGCTCAACACGCCCAGAGGTAGGGCCAGTGTGGCATGTGGTACTGGAGAAACACTGGTCTACTGCACTTGTCTAAGCAGGAGCTTAGTCTACTGAGCTATCTCACCAGTCCCTACTCAGGAGGAGGTAGGAGAATGATGAATTCAAGGCTAGCCTGGGCAATACAGCAAGACTACATAAAAATAAATAAATTTTACAAATGCTATGAAATGCCAAAATTACTTATGTGGTAGCTCTATTTATAATGTTATTTTTTCCCCTAACTAAATAAAAATGACCTTGATTTACAGGAAGTACTAGCAAAATGTTTTCCCCCAGCACTGGGGACTGAACATAGGCAGTACTGAGCTGTACCTCAGCCCTTTCCATTTTATTTTTTTAGTACAGAGTCTACAGGGTCTCACTACATTGATCAGACTCCTAGCGAATCTCCTGTTTACAGCCTACCAAGTACTGGGATTATAGGCATGCCATCATGCCAGGCCCTGGGATTGAACCCTGGACCCTGCATCTGCCTGCACAGGTGCTTTCATCAGCTGAGCTATTTGGCCAGCCTTTCCCTTTCATCTTTGAAACAAGCTCACAGTAAGTTGCCCAAGCTGGCTCACACTTGCTGTCCTTATGCCTTAACTGCCTAAGCAGATGGGATTATAGGAATATATCAGCAAACTAGCAAGCGAGATCTGAGTATCCTGCAACAGGTGGTATGAAATCATGTGGTGATGCAGCTTCAGGACAAATTCAACAGCTCCCCAAAGGAAAAGGCTTGGAACTGCTTCAAGTGTAGGAAGTATTCCACTCCTCAAGGGCATAATTAATCTAAAGGAGTTTTCACCCACATCTCTCTCTTCCTTGTTACCGATACCCTGCCTGACTCACTGCTATAGTAAATACAGGGGGAAACACTGCAGCAGAAAGCAGAACATGCTTAAGCAAGTACTGGGTGTTTAACTGAACCTATGTTCTCGAATCATGTCCGCATTGCCAAGTAAATATGAACAGACAAGTAAAGCTAAATTACTGTACACACACGGAGACCAGAGCTATTAACGAGGGTAGACGACTGAGAACTCTTCCTAGAGTTCAGTACTAGAACACATTATTCAGCAACTTTGCTATGCGCAACTGCAAGCTACTCAAGTTGACACTCAAATAAAATTACCAGTATGTTAGTTACTATAAACAAGGTCAGAAGGAAAATAGATTCTAAACTTGATTCAACTAGGCTGAAAAGTATACATGATTTTAGGTCCACAATAAGAAATATGACATTTCAGCAAAGTTTATTTTTCACTTGCAGTGTTTATTTGTCCACAGTATCTCTGTAGTATCTAAAATATAAATGAGACCAGCTTTGGGCTTGGGTTAGCATCTGGATTCTCATCTATATTCTAATCATCCAAAGAGGTCAAAATACTATGATGGCTTGTATCTGGATTGTGACCCTAAAGTCTCATGCAGTAATGAGTAGGGCTTTTGAGGTTCCTGGATCACATATGATGCTGGAGCTGGGCATGGTGGTGCACACTTAAAACTCCAGCATGCAGAAGGCCGAGGAAGGAGGGTCACCATGAGTTCAAAGCCAGTTTGGGCTACACAGCGAGCTTCATGAACACCTGCACTACATGCACACCCACGACCCCATCTCAAAGCGAACACAAACAAAAATAGGTGTGATGCTGGGATTGATTCACGGTGCAATACTAGGATGAGGGCTACCCCACTCTGGATGTAAGTGTCATCTGTCTTAAGAATGGGTCACCTGGATATGACAGGGACAGAAAGAAGGTCACTGTATGTCACCTGTGGCTTGCTGCCTGGCTTATTTGCTACTTCATTCCTTTGCTGCCTTCTGCCTGCCATGAACTCATTCTTGTTGCCATACTTCCCTGCCCTGGAGCCAGCCGACTATAGACTGAAGCCTTTACAAACTAAACTGCAACAAATCTTTCCTCCTCTGGAAGGGAAAAGTAAAAACAAAGTGAGAACAAAGTTTTGTAAATGGGGGGTGAGGAGAGGTTGAGGTTGAAGAGAGTAGGGGAATGGGGAAAAAAAACAAGTTATACCATCTACAGGTATTAAATTCTCTATGAAGAATGTGACAGTTAAAAATATCTAAAATATACCAGTAAAAACTAATATAAATAAATAAATCTTTCCTCTTTTAATTTTGATATTGTGTCTCAGCAAGGAGAAGAGTAAGGCGGGTGTCATCTATTTCTTTTACGTTGACCTTTACCGAAGACTCTTGCCCAGTAGCTTCATTTGTTCATTCACTCATTCACAAGTCTTTTCTGAGGGTATACAGTATTAGTAAATGACACAAGAACCATGCATGATGCTAGGCTCTGAGGTTAAGACGCTAATTCCTGCTCCCAATATTTGCAAGCTGTACTGCGTACTTATTCTATGTTCTAAATGTCAAGAACAAACTTCATGAGCTGGTGAGCAGAAATAACATCCTTTCATCACGTGTGCATGTTACTTTTACTTGTGTTTGAAATTTACCTTTAATACACTCAGATTTTCTAAAATATTCCTACAAACACCAAAATTGCTGTTTTAAATTTTCTTAGCTTAGAACTTTGATAGGCCCCCAAACCTACAGTTTAAAATCATACATACACCCTTAACTAGTATACGTCTACCAATGAATGCTCACAGTGACAGGTATCCAGTGGATTACTCTGAACGCCAACAGGTAAGTCAAGAACAAAAAAAGGTGGATTTGCATGAAAGCCAAAGAGACAGAAGCCTTCTAATACAGTCACATTTTCCAAATGCAACACTTACGTAATGAACGTCGTCTTTTGTTCTTTAACTTTCTCCTTTTGTTTATTCCAGCTTTAGAAGGAGATTCTTCTTTGGCCTTTGGCTGGCTCGAAACCTTCGAGGAGTTCTGCTGACTGAAGTGTGTGGGTACGTGGCGAGCCAGCCCTCCCTGAGACGCGAAGCTGGCATTGCAGCCACCAACAACACACTACATGACAATGAGAGAGAGGAAGGACATCAGGTGTAAGGCCCAGGCAAGATTTAGGTGGGTACTTAGTACTTTCAAAGGTAAAATCAGTAGTGGAATATAACCAACTCTAGAAGGTAAATGTTGAGGGGATTCTTTCAGAAAAGCAGCTCACTTCATAAATAGTTGTCCAAAGTAGCACACATTTGCCAGTGGTACACCTTGGAAAGCAAAACTCAAAGTTTTATTTCTCACCAATTTGCTACTTTCCCCACATATACAAGGATAAAAATTGTGGAACTTTCTTATCAGAAAGATCCAGTTTTAAAGTAAGCACTTTTGTAGTCACAGCAGTACACTGTTTTGTTATCCTATCATTTGGCTTCCTAGATTTTAAAAATATTTTTACCCGAAGAAACACATATTGCTACTCCAAAACCTTTAGCAATCCCCCTACCATTCTACACTGACTTAAAAGATAGGAAAGAAATCAGTATTGGGGCTGGAGAGATGGCTCAGTGGTCTAAAGCACCTACTTAGAACAAGCTTAGCAAAAGCATCAGGGACCGCAGTTCAATCCCCCAGCACCAC